AAGCTGAGCTCCAGCAGGTCTGTCGCACCGTGGAGGCTGCTTATCGTGACCTCTGCCTGCAGCCTGAGACCTGAGCGGGACCCCAGACCCACCGCCCCACAAGTAGGGGGTGAGTTGCTCTGGTTGAAGCTGCTCCAAGGTGGTTGCCGGTGGGATAAGGGGGATTTGGGCCCCCAAGAAAGGGCTTTTCTGTTGCTGTTGGTGTTTAGGCTTAGCACAAATAAAAGGAGCGAAAGCTGCGTGGTTGGGTTGGTGTGTTGGTGGGAAGGGATGGGATCCATAGGGACCTGGAGAGGTGGGACCATGAGGATGTCATGGAATTCAAGGCTAAGTGCAAGGCCACAAGGATGAGCAGGGGCTGGAGCAGCTCCCATAGGAGCCAGGCTGGGAACACTGTTCAGCCTGGAGAAGAGAAGCGTTGGGGAGACCTCAGAGCAGCTTCCAGTGTCTGAAGAGGGCTACAAGGATGTGGAGAGGGACCTTCAGCAGTGATGGGACAAGGGGTGATGGGTTTAAACTGAAACAGGGGAGATTTAGGTTGGAGATAAGGAAGAGTTCTGCCCATGAGGGTGCTGGGACACTGGGATGGGTTGAATTGAGAAGGTTTGGATGCCCCATCCCTGGCAGTGTCCAAGGCCAGGTTGGACACAGGGGCTTGGAGCAACCTGCTCTAGTGGAAGGTGTCCCTGCCCATTGGAACTGGAGAAGCTTTAAGGTCCCTTCCACACACCCCATTCCATGCTTCCATGAATCCAGGGGCTCTTCCTGGGCTGGGGCTATGTCCTGGTGCTTCATTAGTGCTGATGAGGCTGGTGCTAATGAGGTGGCTTTTATTAGCCAGGAGGAGCGGGTCCGGTTGGTGACACCGGGTCCAGTTACCAGCACCATCCCCTCGTGTCCTCTGCCACCGGTGACACCACGGTCCCGCTGGTGACACCCTGACCCCCCCCGGTGATGTCCTGGCCCTGCCGTGGCCCTGTCAGCTCCGTGGTGCCGGGGGGGCGAACGCCTGGATGCCGGTGATGGCCCGGCCCAGGATCAGCGCATGGATGTCGTGGGTGCCTGCAGGGGGAGCACCCAGTGGGACCCCATGTTCTTTTGGGGTCACGATGGGACCCTGTGGTTGGAACCAGCGTCCCCCCAATCCCTCCATGTCCCTCCATCCCTTTGGCACCTTCGTAGGTGTTGACAGCCTCCAGGTTGAGGAGGTGGCGGATGACGTGGAACTCGTCACAGATCCCATTGCCCCCCAGCATGTCCCGCGCCTCCCGCGCGATGCTCAGCGCCTTCCCGCACGAGTTCCTCTTCAGCATCGACACCATCTCTGGGGCTGCCCTATGGGGACAAGGACATCGATGTCCCCCCCTTGGGACACCCCCTTGTGTGTGTGTGTGTGTGTCCCCCATAGCACCCACCGGCCCTGGTCCTTGAGGCGCCCGAGGCGAAGGC